AGGTCCGTATGGTGAAAAACTGTGACCGAGGTCTTGAAAATACTGCCCAAGGCCGTAGGCCGAGGGCAGCATTTTCAAGACCGAGGTCACAGTTTTTTCACCATATGGACCGACCCTTAGCCGGTAAATAACATATTGATTGTTTTTAAACTTGACGAAATTCTTTCCGAAAGAACCCGAATGATTTAGGGCTGTAAATACGGCAAGATTTTCCATAAACTGAACAATTTTGAGAGAGTAAATGGTAGTTAAAATAGAGGTGATGCAAATTAAAGAGAGATGCCTCAGCGAAACATTTTCATTTCCGTAACGATAAAGGTGATTTGAAAGGCTTCCAAACAAACTTTGAAACTTTATTTTTACAAGTATCTGTCACAATCTGACACCTGTCAATTAGAGAGCGCGCAAGAAAAAAAAAGCGTAGGAACATTTGAAAAACATCAGAACTAGTTTGGCAGGGTCTGTCACGACAATGTTTTCTTCAAAATCAGTCAATGATCTAACGGAAAGTATTATTCACTCTCATCGACCATTCATTCATGTACGAAGATTTACCTCTGTTCATTAAGTAAACGGCGAGGAAATTAATTGTGAGTAAATTCAATTTGTTTTACTTTGAAGTTGTGAGAGTTTGCTCGTTTGTTTGCTGCAATGGCGTGTGTGACTCTGGTCTTTCCTTCACAAAAACTAAATTCGAACGGCACACTCCAACGAGACACAAGGGAATTTAATACGGCCTTTTCTCAAAAAATTCCTTCAACTTCTGTTGTGCAATTTACGGTACAAATGTCTAAATTGTACGGAATTGGAAAGACTCACCGGGAGCGTATATTTGTTGTAGAACTTAAATTAAAACTTCGCTCGCTCCTTCACTACGAACAAATTGCTCGAGAAAATTCAGATATTAAATGAATGAAAGTTCCATCGTTCAGTTTAACTGTAACCAAATACTTCACGTTTCAACTTTCTGGGTACTTTTTGTGAACGATTAAAATTAATTGCAGACGGTTTTTAGGCCGCTTGTCAACCAACGTAATGACACTATTGGTTATTCAAATTCATTCTGAAACCAATATTTTTCTGTCAACCAAAGTGATTTGATAGAGTGAAAAGAGAGGATTCATAAGTTATTTATCGGCTTGAGGTAGTGACCGATGTGTTTGCTTAAAATTACTGCCCAGCGGGCAAAACGAGGTATATTTATGAAAAAATGACAACGAAATTTGGGATGTACTCGGCGACGCAAGAAAGTGTTGCTGTGGCCCGTGGGCAGAGTTAGGAAAATACTGACCGGGTAAAGAACCAATCAGATTGCAGGATTCGTTACCGTGCCCTCTAAAAAAACAATAATATTTCTTCCATTCTCGCGACAGATCTGGGATTTTCGAGGCCACAATAGTTATGATTTGATTAAAAAATCCTAAAGGTCGTTTTAGAAGTAAATGCAGCAGCGAAATCAGCATTTTATCTTTAAGCCTAGTGGGCTTACAAGCAGAGAGGCAAGGAGACAAGTGGAATATGTTTAAAAATTTTGAGGACAGAAAGTGTTAGAAAGAAAGCCTATGTTTACGAGCAAGTATCCCAAGCGACCATAGTTTATCCCAGTGACTTAAGCATGAAGTGACAAGGAAAATCAAAATCTTTTCCTTAATAAAAGAATTACCCGTACATTTTCGCGATTCTTCCAACGGAAAACTTAAATTAATACTTTGAAACAGAGACCAACTGCATGAAGATTTAAACCTCTGTTATACCAGAGAACAAAAATAGTTAAAACGTGCCTGATAAAAACTATAACATAATTCTCAAACGTGATTGGTTATCACCAATCCGATTTGAGCACTAAGAAGACAGGGTGCGCTTCATGCTTGTAATTGGACAGTGTAATAGGACAGTTAAAGGGATACTTCACACGTCATGCCTGCACGTGTAAGTAGACAGAACACGTCATGTGCGCGCGTTGTTGTCTCGCATTTTGCCGCGTTAACTGCGTTATTTTTTTTTATGATAACATATAACTGATTTATTTTCTTTCTAAAAATTTTTCACAGTTTGATTAATTGGTGACAAGACTTCGTGTCGTCGTCTAATTCTGTCTGTAATCATACTCGTGACTAACAAATCGGACTCCCGCGCCGCGGTCGTTTGATTTTGTTAATAGAGTGGTTTAGCAAGAGGACGGGAACATCATTTCAGAACGGGAAAGTGCGCGGATAATCTGGACACGACTCTATTTCGACTTCCGGTGTTCGCGTTACCGTTCTCCCCATCAAGTTCAGGACGTCATTTCGCTGGTGATCAAAACGCCTAGGATTTGTGTTAATTGTGCTCTTATAAACGAGATAATGCTGTTTGGAATGATTTCAGAACTCATTTGCCAGGACAACCAGGTTCCTTTCTTTGTTTTATTCGATGAATTTGTGAAAATTTACCGCTACATTTATTCTGGATTCCCGAAAGGAAACACGATCGTCAGCAAGCGATCTAAGACTTTAGGGCTCAGTTACCTTTTGTAATTGACCTTGGCTTTAAGCAACGTTAGGGCTTTTCTTTGATACATTTCTTAAGCCATGTATGAAAACTCTAAGAACGGGTGCTGTTAATTTTATCGTGAATTAATTCATCAATAAATTAAACTTGCTTCATGTTGAAGTTTATCAAAATGAAACAACACGAAGGATACCTGCTATATTATTCAGTGTTATTTGTTGTCATTGTCGTTTTAACCGTTATTAAAAAGTGTTCTGCGAATTGAAGTCAGAGATAAAAAAAATTTGAGAATAGCTCGGGTTTGCACTTTTTATGTCTTTAGTTTTGATCAGCGCCGGTGAAAACTTAGACAAGAAAGTCATCTACGAAAGAAAATAACAATCAACTTGATTTCGGTACGACTTTCTAAATCTATTAATTTGATTCAGTCTTGAACGAATTTATTCGTTAAAAAAATTAAATTGAACAAAAACAAAATAAAACAGGAAGAAGTCTGATTCCTCAGTCTAACCGTTTCGTTAGTGACTAGTTTGAGTGCATTTCATTCGTTCATTGTTAAACGGGAACTCATTGTAAACAAATCTATCGTTGGGCCGCTTGATCTCTACATGTTTTCGCCATAACTCCGTATAACTCCATTCAAAATACATTGCAACTCTAAGAAGGTGATGCTTAAAAGAGGTGTACTGTCATGATTGAGAAGAATATTAAGTAAACAAGGGGAAAAAAGGCGACGATTTCAATTCCAAATTATACTTTACAAAATTATAAAGAAAAACAAGTAGTGCTGAAATCTAGAAGCACGAAACGAGATGACAGCGATACAAATCATAGAAAAAAATATTTACTGGGCTTCAAAATTTGATAGATGAATCTGCAGACTCGAGACTTAACTGGAATAAAATAATTTCAAAGTTTAATCGCCCATGTGGATTTATATTAACAACTCACTTGTAGTAAACTATCCTCAGTTTGTGCTTGTTACACTCTCAAAGAGGATAATTTCGTTGTCCTTCAAGTGGTCTATGAAACCGAAAATTCAAAGCTGATAATGATCCTAAAGAACCAAGGTTAGGATATTCAAGAACAAATATAACGTGGACGGTTCGTTGAAACGACTGCTAAGTCACTTTTCAACACAATGCGACGGCGTTCTCGACCCAGTTTTTCTCGGCATTTTTGCTGCGCGCGCCGTTCTGAAATGACGTTCCCGTCCTCTTGTTAAACCACTCTAATAATATATGATACAGACCGCATTGGACTCCACTCGGTCCTATTACCATTATGAATTGAGCAACAAGCAATTGGGTTATTTTACATTTTCAAAACTACCAGCTGTACTTGAGTAATGGCTCTTGCCGAAACTAGTTCTCCACCTAAACTTTCACGCCTTTGTTTGTCTATCAAACGGTTTTCTTTGTGCATCCTAAGCATTGACAAATTGCTTCATTTCACTTCTACTTGTATAGTTTAGTCTTAAATTAGCTTCGTGTTTTTGGATTGAGCCTCTATCCCTCAGTTTTAATCGAAAAGAACTGAACAGTTTTCATCATTCCTTGTCCATCATCATGTCAAAATTAATGCAGTTCTTGCCTTCGTAGATCTCTTGGTTCACGTAGGTCTGGAGAAGAGATGAGATCAGGATGAAATGTGTCAAAGAATTCCTTACTAAATTGTATATGATTGTTGTGTCAGTCTTACTGACCTAAGAATCATCCCTAAACTTTGGTATAGCATCTTTCATTTCCCTTCCTAGGGTACAATTCAACAAACTATTCAACAAACTATCGGAACTATACCGAGCTATTACAATGCATGGAATGTCTGAACTATTCCTACTCGCCCACTCTCCTCCTTTCAAGGAGGGGAGGGGGAGGGAAGTCAAGGAAAACTGTAACCAGAGATTAATTAAAATTGAGCTTAATGAAAGGTGAATAAAAATGACAGAACAAAAACATAAACTCTTTGATCCTCCAGAAATCGTTTTATTGCAAAGCACAGCCACTGGAATGTTGCTCTCTTTGAGGGCTCCTCTTCCCAACATTCCGTCATAATCGAATACCTGGAATAGAGACAACTAACGTCTAGTCAGTAAATTGTTTATTCCTGATATCGAAAATTTTTATAGTGGTTTGAAGGGGAACAGGGAGCAAATGAAACGGATAATTTACTCGGTTCCTTAAGAAAATTTAGAACACTATCTCAATCGTAAGAAGTGTACTACACGTAACTTTTTCAGTCGGAATTCTTATTAAACTAATTGCAAATTAAGAAGCCGTAGACATATTATAAATTGGACTAAAATAAACGTGAAATCATCAATACTATTCTTTCTCACTTATCGATGTCAATACCTAGAGATCAAGTGATAAAAAGTTAATATTTCCTATATATGCAAATGTTTTACCTTTGATGAACATATCCCTGATGGCAGGCGGCAAAATTTTAATTTTTGATGTTTGCTATGGCCGTCATGATTAATTTTAATATGTTTCAGTTCGTGACTACACTTACAGCTCTTGTGAGATATGTGCTGGCCTGGGCATGCGGTATCCTGTCTGCAGTAAGTCAACAACTTTTTTAGACTTTTTCCCAGGATAAGGTGATTCGCCTGAGATTATAACATATATGTGATAAAAAGCACGACGATTTTTTAAGATCCTGCATGTTTCCCAGAAGAAAGATTTTGTGGTAGACATGACGGGCTCTTTTCGTAAAGTCTGGGCATTCCTACGCTTCTGTTTTTATTGACAATCCGCTTTATCAGGTTGAAAAGGATTTGGAATAGCGTTTCTCCCTAGAAAGGTGGAGGGGCAGGGGTCAGAAGGAGAAAATCTTAGGACTTTTGCCCTCGTTCAAATTTTTCCTGATTTTGAACGTTTTAATACTTAATACGCAGTTCTTGGAAGGGTTTCTTTTTATGAAATTCCATATAGGACCAATAGGGCTTTTCATTATCGAAGTCAGTAAACGCAATCTTGAAAACAATAAGAAATACAAGTTATGATCAAAGCGTCTCCTTTTGTCCGGTAGACTGCGATGAGTCCTCCACAATAGTCTACATACCAATGGAAAACACCTCCCAAATCACGATGCCGTATGACCATCTGTGTAATATGAAAATATATTCCTAGTCTTAATCCTTGGACTCTTCTTAATTTGGGTATGAAAAATTTTGTCTTCATAATATTCTTTATCGCACACACATTTTAAATGGATGCTGATCGGCTTAAAAAAGGATTTGCTAAACTTTGATAACGCTTGTGAGTCTCTTCTAATACGAGTAAGTCATCAAGAATTTTAGGAAAAATGAAATAAGTGAAGCTAAAAGAAAATTTAGAAACCTCTGCTCTTCAACTAATTCTCGAAAAATTTTTTCAAATTCCAAAGAGGCAAAGGAACAGCTGAAATCCCCAGGCTTGACGGTTTTGAAAAACAGAACATGGAAAAAAACTTACACGTCACTCATAGTAGTCGGTGTTACATAGAATAGAGATTCTGGAGACATCCACTTGATAGAAAGACGAGCCTTGACATTGGGGAATGGCAAAAATATATAAATGGAAATAAAAATTGATATCAGAAGTGATACAATGTTTAATACAACGATATCTTTCGAAACCTTAGAACATCAACACGTTTAAGTGAGAAAACCAACGAATAGGCCAATAAAAGCGATCTATGTCACTTATTTAACGAGGGATTTTATTTGCGACCCACCTTTTTTTTATTTTATTATTATTTTTTTTTACAACATGATACTTACATTAACTACATTAAGGTTCCTTTCACGGGACTCTCTACGTACATTGCGTTACACTACTTACTTACATTACACTTAAGATACAATTGATATTTGTGCTTCTTACATTGTTCTACTTACGCAACGTACAATGTGATAATGCACACATATTTAGAGGCACATCATTTACACACACACACAAAAAGAGAAACTTATTCACAAAAAATTAACAGTTGCGAAAAACAAAAAGGCTAAATTGTGGGTGAGATTGATAAGAGTAAGAGCTTGAAAAGAGAACACCCAAAAGTACAACGTTATTAAAAATTGATTTTCAGAGGCTTAAGATCAGCATGAGGAGAATAAGATATAGCCTGCGAGCAGGCTCACATTTGGAGCCCACCCGCAAACTATATATATATATAGCAATTATAGTGCATGAAGTATTTTTTCCCACTTCTATTGAAATTTACTCTGTGAAACAGTCACGATAGATATTTGTTTTTCAATTTCTAAATTATATTTCAGCTGTTGCGCATATTCTCTGATAGATGGAGATATGTTCTTAAATTTACAGCAATAAATATAATACCTTGCGAGGAGCAAACAATGGCTCACTAAAATATAATCTTTCTCTCCTCTAAAACCTAAACATTCATAGATATCCAAAACGTGTGAAAAAAGATGAACCCTTCCCCAAAAGGTTTTCGTTTCCGAGCATTCCCAAAAAAGATGGATTAATGTTTCCTTGTCTGTTTTGCACAAATAACAGAGAGCAGTATCCGAAATTCTTATTTTATATAGAGAGGAATTCGTTGCTATACGTCTGTGGAGAAATTTGAACTGCAGGTTCTTTATCTTAGTACTGAGCGTACTATATCACTAAATTAATGAGAGATTTTATTTACAACCCACCTGAGTCTTTCTTGTGTAAAGATCTCCCTCCAAACCACGTGCCAAACCAAAGTCTGAAATATTACATACCTTGTTGTCCCCAACTAACACATTGCGTGCTGCTAAATCTCGATAAACAATCCAAAACATAGCATACGCATGTTATTCCGAGGCGATTTAGAGGAAGCACTAGCCGTTTTAATTTTCTATCAATTTCAATTTTCAGTCACTTTTAGTACAATCATTCGCTTGTTTTAATCTCAAACCTCTATGTAGCGGAATTTTACTATCGATAAACTTTTCCTAAAAGGCAACTATCGAATTCCGCAAATTCGTTTCCGTTAATTCGTTTTACCCTTTGCTCTGAATGCCTCTTTTCAGGTGGTCCGAGACACCTTTTGAGGTCTATTTTGATTCACCTCATCTAAATGGTCACCATGTTATATTACAAGTAAGTGATTTATTTCACGTAGCACAAGATCTTTGTTAGATGAACTTTATCGTTTTTATTTTATTTTTTGTTAGATTTTACTTCGCATGAGTGTTGATAATGAGAGATACCTCGCGTAAATCTAGAATTATATTCATACTGACTTTTAGTCCATGGGCCAGAATAGGTCCTCGGTAACACTCAGGGGGAGAAAATGTGAGTGTTATCTGATGAAAGCTTTTGTGAAAGACTTTACAAACTCACTTGATAGCAATTGTGAAAGTGTAGCTTCCCGAATTTTTCGTGTACTCGTTTAATTGAGGAAGTACCGCTTACATGGAAACGAGGCTGACAAGAAAACGATTATTTCCAATGCCTTCTTTATTTACCATAGCAAATGAATCATTACATGTAACATAAAACAGCATTTCAAAACAATGTTTTGGCTAAAAGCCAAAATTTACTTGATTTGAAAGAAAACTCAAACTAAACCATTATGTTAAATTTGAAAGTCTTCGTGGGTAAGTTCCAAAGTAGGGAAGTGCTTCAAGGTCTTGTCGATTCTTAAGAAAGGCTGCTATTGCTACGGATGATAGCAGAGTTTTGGTACCACGGCCAGAGGTGTCTACTAACGAAAATCTACATGGGGAAGACTTCTTACTCATAACACGTCGCTAATACGTTTTGTGAGGCGTTATAATGCACGTTATTACATCGCAGGTAGCGCTCGCAATATGAGGCAAATCCTGTTTTCTGATTGGCTAACCGAGGAGCTCGATGGGCCCATCCTGTCCGCTCGAGATTACCCGCCTTGATCCCGCTCAAGAATAGAGTTGGGTGGAGCCGTCTTCCGAAGTTCGTAATTTTGGACAATGTCAGAGATGTAGTCGCAAAAAGTGACAGAAGACTATAAAACAAAGTGAACATAGAAGACTCTAGGGAGTATATCGTGTTGCAACAGTTGGCTTTCTTTCGGAAAAAGTGACAGAAGACATTAAAACAAAGAAAACATAAAAGATTCTAGTGGGTATATCGTGTTGCAACAGTTGGCTTACTTTCCCGGCTTTCAAAATAAACAAGTCATTCTTGATTCTTTTTAATGCGAAATCTTCTTTTATCAACTTCGTTCAAGTCCACAAAAACGCAAAAAAGAACTCGGCCAATATCTATTTCAATGTAGTTGGACCCAGCTTTTACTAAAAAACGAAAACCCAATCAATAAGGTCTGTTTCAACGTCTCACAAAGCGTAGCGAGCAATATCATGTATTTCGTGGCCTGAAAAAGCATTTTCGCGAAGGTATTCGTTTTGTAGTTTGATCTCACCTTTTTCTACAAACGAGGACCCTATCAATAACGTGTATTGATAGTACTCTCTTGTTGAGTTCGGTCTTCTGTTCATAGATACCCACACTACCAGTGTTATCGAGATTATAATCGACCAGACAACGTAAAAAGCGCTCGTGGTTGGAAGGCGAATCTGCCTCAGGTGAAACCAATTATTTCACATGACAAACTGTTTGGCTTTATTCGATTATATGTATGAGAAAATCCCAGGCTAACGTGCTACATACGATCACATATGCAGTCATCAATGGCAGCAACTAGTAGATTCGCGTGACTTGTCGCAATTTGAAGATCTCCCTGATAAGAACCTTTTTGTTCTACCCAAAAGTCTTTCGAAGGCTCAACTGGCCACTGAGAAAATTGCATGAGGAAGATGGCAAAGCTATTCATGTCGCAGTTATGAAAGTGGCTTACTGTTGTTTTGGATATCGTGTTAACCACATTACGTAAAAATGGGAAGACTAACAGTGGGGAGACTAACAGTCAAAACGGCATGTTTAAACTCATTTGACGTGTGAACGTCAATTTCACACGAACACAAAATTGGCTTTTTATTAAAGTGTTTGAACGTGATTTATCCAAATTTTTTTTTTCACAAATAGCATCAAATATAATTGTTTTGTTTTATCTAAATCTGTGAGAAATTTGAATTGCGAACTGAGACATCTCAGGAAATTCAAAACAATGGTAACAGCCCTCTCGGAACCCTTTTTAGATTCATATTGATTTCCCATAATTTTTGCCAAGAGTATTCGAAAAGCATCGCTGCGACTTGTGGCTCCATCTGACGCTACATGTGCACAGTGTACGAAAGATAAGCAGATAAACAGGAATTTAAGTGATATCTTATTTAGTCCAGAGACTGACTGATATGATCCGTTAGTCCTTACAGTTATCTCCCCGAGATTTGCCTCAATTCCATGTCTCCTTTTCGCCAACTCGCTCACTCGGTTCTTAGCGTAGATTTTCATGGTGTAGTTTACAATGGGAATAAGTTTTTAACAATAACGTGAGTAATATTCAAGCCGTCTTTCCTTAGTATGAAAACGACGCTACTCCTGCAAGCTTTAGGTACACGCTTGCCGTGTTCTCCTTCGCATGGTCGATGGCAGTAGACGTCATAAAAAACCTGGGTCTGAACACCAGTCATTGCTGGAAGCTGCCATTTTAACTCCATTACGCTTTGGTTAACGAAGAGCACTTGGACATTTTCGGGTGCTGATGGTATGACTAAAAACACATTTACTTATTAGGTGATAATGGGAATAAAAACCCTCAAGCAGACAATTAATTTTTTTTCCTCAGTTAGTAATACGAAACTGTATATTTTTTCTAATTCATATGCTGGAAAAATACCTTAGTAAGCGGCAATGCAAGAATATAGGCAGACTATTGTGGAGTTTACAATGGTCAACTGTTTAATTTCTGTTTTGCACTTGCCCATTAAGTATTAGTGGAAAGGAGAAATAATGTTCTATGCATCGCATTCTTCAACAGAAAAATATATTAAAACCAGGCTTACAATATTTTATAACATCTGCGTCCTTACCTGTGCAATTAAAGTCATTCTGATCATTGTATTTTTCTTTTTGGCAAACTTAAGAAGGAAACAAGATAAAATTTAGTAATAAAGCCCTTAACCTCAGCGAAAAACGAGTAAGGTTATTGAAGTTGACCCCAGCAAATGTTAAATTAAAAAAAACTCTTGTCTCCATGTGAAATAAAATTGAATTATCTAAGATTGAAATTGTCCATCGAGTATAACGTCTTTGATTACACTTGCAAAGCAAGGAACATTTAAGTTTCCGCTTCCAGGCCTGGCTGAATTTATCTTTTATCCATATCCATACACTCTAGAATTTCTGTGAAAGTCAAAAGGCAAAAACCTTGTTCTTTTTGCTTTTTATCGAGAAAGTTTAGGTTATATACCTTTGCATCCTCTTCCTCTATTTTCCGTGTCCTGCCTGCATACGCATCTTCCCGTAAGTCCAAAGACCATCGCTCTGACAGTGCATAGTAATGTACCTTGATTGTAGACGGCATTTGTAACAACTGGCTCAGACTTGTCTACTGGCGCTGTAAACAGTGGTAAGGAAACCAAACCAGTACCAAGAGTAAATTGTAGACAGAAATAATAACTGACACTGATAGAGTAAATGATGCTGCACGAACCCTCGTTGTGAAAAGCCAGTATGATATAGTTTCCTTTCACTTCAACACCAACATTTTTTGCAACTCTGGCACTAATACCAAGGATCGGTGAAATTATTTCAGCAATCTTTTCATTAGTGGCATTGTTTTTTAAAGGACCAGGTGTCGATGAGGTCATAGACTGATGCACGTGAAAGTCGAAATATTCTCTACCGAAATTTTCTCCGCCAAGTACTGTACAGTTCCTGGTCCTGTATACAACGCTAACTTCAACTTTTTTCCTTTGCTTGGGACTATGAAAAGATTACTTATGAGCCAGGTGTTTGGTTGTTGACCAACTACATCACAACTAGAGTACAGTGGGTTCCCCGAAGAATCTAATGTTTTGTGCCACTGATCAAAAACAAGGATAGAAGAACAAAATTTCAAGTCAAAGTTTTTTCTGGTCGGTCAGCTTTATAACTTTTCAAGTGTCAGGAAAGCTGTCGGGAAAGGCCTTACAATTTGCACTCTACTGTAACACAAACCGCATACAGGCTTAATATTAAAGCCACTGAAAAAGCTGTATTTTATGGAAAGACGGGGAATTAAGAGAGCTGTTTTTAATCATCTTTGAGGAGAATTCCTTATCTTATTAATTAGAGGATAACAACCAGAAATCCGGGCAGGCAACGATGATAATACTAAGATCACTGATTTGGCTCAAACTTGTCACACATGCTAGGTATTATGAGTTTCCAACTGTGTGAAAATAGTAAGTGGAAATACATAACTCCTAGAGAGATATTTAGTCACCCTGTGAAAAACCCAAATTCCCCAATTCTTTGCATGACTAATTTACCAAATATACTTAGCTTTTGTGTCGAAGAGAAAAACTATCTGAAAATTCAATTTGGAAAATTATTCCACGAAAGGATCTTACCCCACTAGACCAAACTGCTCGACTTAATGTCCAATCCTCCCACATTTCTTCCTCTGTCGGCCTCTTCTGTAAAACAACTTTAAAGGAAACAGGTTGATTTGTTGGCTTTACATCTGCACTGTATTTATTTTTAGGTGCTTTATATAAAAAACGTTGCACCTCACGCCTTCGCGACGTGGAAAGAAATGACTAGAGCTCATCTAAACCAGTCGCTAGACACTTTAATCTTCCTAATCATTCTAAACAGCATATGTCAGTTTGCGGCCTTTCCTTACATCTAGGCAGTTCGGAAAGCCGTAAAA